TATGAATCTTGCAGGCAAACTTCTTAAAAAAATTTACTTGAATACGAGTAAAACGTTATTTAGTGATGCACCAAGCTAATTTACAATGGAATTTGTCTCCTTGTGATCTTTTCTGCATTATTTTTCAGCTAAGGCCGAACTGCAGTTACGAAGCGAGTGTAATAGAATAGAGAAGAAAAAAAAACGTCGAGATTTTAAATTTGAAACTTGATTTAATACTAATAAACGCCAGGTTCTACAAAACTTTGGTGTTCAACATTGTTACAGCATACAGTTCGCTTTGATTAAGGCATCCAATATGGCAGATCACACTTTAGTGTCTACAGGTTTCAGTTCAAAATCCTGCTGCAGAGGCCTCGAGTTGTTTGGTAGTGGCGTCAAAGCAAACCTTCGGCTATCTCTTTCTTCGTGTCCACCCGGTCTGTTTATTACCTTTTGGCATCTTGTGAGGCATAAAGCTAGTGCTTGTCTGAACTTAGGTATTCTTAATCAGTACACAACCGAGTTAACAAAACAGTTAGAAAAGTTGAGAATATTTATGATATCATAAATCAAATGCCATTTAGATGTATTAATGTTTTGAACATAAAATATGTAGTTTGCAGTTACTAGAGGAAGCCAAGACAGTAGAGAAGTAGTGGACACGAGTAACAAGGTTGCGGTCAAGCGTTGGGTTTGAGATGCCCTGTTTCCCTGTTGTGAAGAAACGTTCCTCTTGTGGAAAGTTCTACAAATACCAATGTTACAAGCACAAACCATAAATAGAAACAGCAAAGGGAATGACATCCAAGCATACGTAGCTTCTTTGTCTGAAATTAAGTACTTGACAGGGTTGAACACCGCCGAAATAAGCAAAGCCGGCGTCCAGATGGTGACAATTGTAATGTAGTACGCTTTGGTTGACAAAGTTCGGTGTTTTAGCGGCCAGTAAATGGCGTAAAAACGTTCAAAGGCTAAAAAAACAGCAGAAATTAATAATGCCTGCGAGAAGGTGGTATCACTGACGTCCCAACCGATATCTAACGCTTTATATGATGTTTTCCATAGCCGATAACTGGGCCCGATAGATGTGTAAACATACAAAGGCAAGGAAACCGCTCCTGAAATTAAATCCGCGAAAGCCATGTTTACAACCAGAAAAAGGCTTTTCTTTGGAAGTTTTTTCGCTTTTGCAAAGAGAGCAATTGTGAGAAAGTTTCCCGCGACAATCAGGACGGCTTCCAACAAAAAAACGACGGACAGAGTTCTTCCTTCTACCCGGCGTGAAGGAACTGAATACTTTAAGGATGAGGACGATGTATTATTTGCGCGCGAGACAGGTGATACGTTGCTCATTTTTTTTATGAAATAATAAAATTTGTCGTCCTGAACAAAGAGTCATATGTGACCAGCATTGGAAGTATCTCGATGTAGGAAAAACTGAAACTATTTATCTCGTTGCGTTGAATACACTGAATGCGTCTCTGGATCATGATACAGGGCTTGAAGTATCTCGATATAGAAACTTGAAAAAGATATCAACTTGTCGCCTTAGATACATTGTATGCGTCCTGTGGATCATGATGCAGGTGTTTAATTAATGAAACTAATTTAACCGTTATTTGACTTAGCCCGACAAGGCAAAAATTTATCATACTTTTTGAGACGACTTAATGGTCTGAATTTCTTAATAAGTTCTCACAACGTATCAGCCAAATATCAGTTACTTGAGCGTAACTTTGAAGAAAATAAGCATAAAAAATAGATGATCAAAATTTATATAACCTAACCAGAACGGTATCCTAATGCGAGAGTATAAAAGATTTCGGAAATATTAAGACAGTTGTATTAATTATTCATTCAAGTATCCATCCGTTTCCGATTGGCTTGAGTCCTCCTGCTAATGTTTAGTTAATCAGCTGGCGTTAAAAAACTACTTTGTACCTGAATTTGCGACAAAATCATAAAAAAAACATTCAACGACTCTCCTAAGCACTGTAGATGAAATTACCAATTAAAGCTCTCAGCAAGAAATGTTATATTATGAGTTGATCTTCGATTTAAAATGCCAGCTTGAATTGTTTCCTTTTTTGTCGACGACCATGGGTTTGTTGAATATTATCTAGTGCGTACAGAGAAATCGCCTTCTGTTGGCGATTTCAATCATGCATCCCTATATTAAATTTAAAAGTAATGCTTCAGCTGCTGGTTGGTGTGATCCTGATTTTTCCGTAAATAAGGACACTGGGGATTGGTTGTACCGCTCTGGAATGGTTTGGAAGCTATTTGTCGGGACGTCAACAGTACGTCAGGATCGGTGCTGAGGCCTCAATTCTGGGTGCTAGTTCTCATGGTGTACCACAGGGTTCCATCCTAGGTCCGGCCCTATTTACTATCTACATTAACGACCTTTCCAACATCCCGAAACTTGGCTCTATGGAATCACACACTGACGATTCAAAACTCTATTTGTCATTTTTTTGTCAAAGATACTTGCAGTGTGGTCCAGCAAATTAATGATGATTTATCAAAGATTGCATCTTAGTGCTGCTATAATAGTCTTTTGATCAACCCAGACAAGACCAAGTTGATGGTGCTGGGAACCCGACAAATGCTACAGAGACTACCTGCAGACTTTCACGTCACTCTTCTTGGAAAGGAAGTTACTGTAGCCTCCTCTGCACGAGACCAGGGGCTTCAAGTAGACTCCACCCTTAGCTTTGTTGAACATATTACAAACACTCTCTCATCATGTTTAGGTAGTTTATGTCAGATTAATAGGGTGACACATTTTCTCGGCGCCAGGACATTTGGGAATGTTATAAATGCGTTGGTATTTGGCAAACTACACTATCTCCTCAACCAGCCTATCTAGTTGTCCCCTGCTTGCAATTCTTCTCTTCGTCTTCGGTTTTGAGAATCTTTCTATTTTTTAACCCTTGGACGTACAAGGTGGGTGGGTGGGGGGTAGGAGTGAATGTCACCCCCCATAAGGTTTTTCTGAGTTTTTTCCTAGAGGATAAAACATTAGCACCTAACGTTTTCAGTAGCTGTTCGTTCATCCCTCGCGCAGATTTTCAAACAAGTCTGGTGATGGTCAGTTGCATGCTATGGCTACGAGATATGACGTCACAAGTAGCAGGTGGTCAAGCCAATTTTAGGGGAAAATAAATGGTTTTTTCAACTTCTTTCAACGATAAAAGTATATCTTGTGGCTAAAATCAAGCAAAGTGCTTATTTATGTGATATTTTTCATGTAAAGCACAAAAAAATTGCCATTTCTTGCGGTTTTAACCTGATTTTAAATTCTTGGTAATATCCAAGATGGCGATTATTGTTGGTGACGTCACAGGCCTACAACAGCGCCATCACCCATAAAATATACCTCATCTTGTTAAGAAGATCAAAGGCTTTCCACTGAAGGCCAAATCGTTTCAAAATACTGTAACATATCAAAAACTCGGGGTAGGGTTCCATCAACCCCCTCCCCCCTGTTACAACGGTGGAGGTATGAATTTGCGTGTACGTCCGAGGTTTAAGTCAACCGAGAGCCATATTATGGCTCTGGAGTCAACATTGTAAAGGGCATAATGTAAAAAAGTGTTTCAACAAATTTGACGGGTTTCTAATAAGAAAATTGAACACATTTTCTAAAACAACAGATAAACAAACTGGATAAAACTGTTTACCAAACAATTTAAAAACGTCTCTAAGATTTGTTTTAGACACACTCTCCTGATTCCCGATGTAAGGCCACGCCATCACAATACTGATGGCGTGGTCTTACCACAAATATCACGAAAAATAGCCCTAATGTTTTTTTTATTTCTCTCAAGCTTTTATTCCTTACATCCAGGCTAAAAATGTTTACTAAATACCATAACTTCTTTTAATCAAACCGCTTTTTTTTTAATTCTCCGTTTCAAAACAAACAAACTAAACCAATCAGGTTGCAAATTTCACTGCCATGCATGTCATGCCGTTCGTTCGTCCGTCCATGTATTCATTCCTTCATTCATGCATCCATGCATTCATTTATTCAAGTGCCTGGCTACACTACACAATAAATTTCTATGTCAAAATTTTTTACAACACAATGTACTTGCTTGATTAGACCAACATAGCTGATTACAGTTTAGTGACAATAGTTTCTCTTTCAATACCCTTTTGAAGACGATTTTGGTCATCTGGCTGTTTTGATGGTCATATTGCCGGCGTTGGGGCGAACCCCCTGTTATCTCCCCCCTTTGTTCCTTTCGTCTCTGTTTATCGGGCTTCCGACGCCTTGTTATGCAAAAACCCAGCGCTTGTCTGAACTCGAGAATTCTTGAAGGCCTTCTTAATGAGTAAACAGCCGGGTTAACGAAACTGTTGGAAAAGTTGAGAAGAACTATGATATAACAAAACAAATAAACTTTAGGTGTATTAATCGTGAGGATATAAATAAGACAATTCGCGATGACTAAGGAAAGCCATAACAGTAGAGAAATGGTGGACACAAAAAAGCAGAGTTAACTTCAAGCGTTTGTTTCGGAAGGCTCTGTTTTGTTGCTGTGAAGAAATATTCCTCAGTTGAAACTTTCTCCAAATACCTATGCTACAAGCGCAAACAATGAATAGAGACGGCAAAGAGAATGACATCCAACAAAAAGAAGCTGCTTTAAATGAGATTAAGAACTTTGCTATGTTAAACACCGCGGAAAAAAGGAAAGCCAGCGTCCAGATGATGAAAATTATAATGTAGTATGCTTTTTAAATGTCATAGTTCGGTGTTTCAGTGGCCAGTATATGGCGTAAAAATTGTTAAAAGGCTATTGCGGCTGCTGAGATTTACGAGCCCTGCGAGAAGGTGGCATCAACGACACTCCAAGAGATATCCAAGGACAGTTTCTCTTTATAATTCCATAACCAAAAACTGGGCATGATCCATAAGAAAACATACAAAGGCAGAAACAGCCTCTAAAATAGCATCGGCAAAGGCCATGTTTATTACAAGCAAAAGACTCTTCTTGCGGAGCGGTTTATCTGATGCGAAGACTACAAATGTGAGCAAGTTCCCCACGGAAATTAAGACAGCTTCCAGGAAGAAAACGCTGCACAGCACTAATACCTTCTACTCGTAAATGATATGATGTAGACATGGTATTTGAGCTCGTAGCAGCTGATACGTTCATCGTTTGGGTGGGGGGGGGGGGGGANTTCTTAAGTGGAGTACAGTAGGTTGCCGAGCTACTGAAAGGTAACTGGATGCGTCAGCAAAACTTATGATATTTGTTCCGTGAATTAATTTTGTTCCGTTGATCACACATACACTGTAAGTAAAGGTGTTCAACATAAAGCAATTACATTACGAGTTTTCATAGCCAATGACATCACGGCTTAACTGACAGACTACCACATCGCAAAGTAATTGACCAATCAGGTCAATAACCAGAGTATAATACCATCAACTGACGTGATACAACTCACTTTGACTCTGAAGATGACTACCGCACAGGTTGTCGAAACGCCAGTCACTGTCAACAACAACAGTCCTATTTAGGACTACGTTCACCCGAACGATCAAACTGAACCTACTTTTATAAAGCTGATTATTGAGACCGCAAACATTCGCCAATTTATCTTGAACTAAGACGATGGAGTAATCGGTTTGAACGTATATTTCTTTAAAGCCAGGTATTTATCGCCTGTCCGATTCTTTTCTTGATGATAAAATGGCAATATGCAATTGATAAGAAAATAAATACAACCCCACGATTGTGGGCGCAATTGTAACCCATGACATTAATATGTGGTATAATCCTGAAATTAAGAAAAAAATGTTAAAAGTCTCACAAAAGGCTCGAGAAATTATGAGTTTTTTGACAAAAGGCAAGTGCAGTTATTTCCTGTCTTCATTCGTCACCATTAAAATATATACACTCCAATTTTTAGGGCATTCGAAATTTAATATTCAGCGCATAATAACAACAATATTTAAGCTTCACGATATTGGACACTTTTTGTGCTTTGGTCAATTAGAGAAATTAATTTATATTGCTGGAATGGATAGATGAAACCGAAGAAAATTAAAAATGTCTTAATACATGTATGACAAGTTTACGTAAAATTGTTTATCATGAAAAGTTAAGCTCGATCTCATTAGATGAATAGTTGTTGTATAACAAAACCAGAGAGACCTTTAAAAAATGTTCTCGGACTGCCTTCCTAGCAGGATAGCAGTAATATTGCCGGATGTTTGTCAAGTAAACCTAGTGTCCCTAGCTCCGAAGAATATCCTGTAGCGTGGTAGAACATCTGGACTAGTGATTAAAAGGCCATAGATTGGTCTCCTATCGGGAGTAGTCGAAGTTTTCCTCCATAGCCGCCTCTGTCAATGACTGAAAAATCATCTTCCCTTATTATCTTCATTTCGTGAGCTTTGCGTGTATTGGGTGCTCCTTACACTGCAAAATATTGGTCTTAGTTTCTTATATAACAAAAAGGAAAGAAAACACAAACTAACCCCATGGATAACATAAACTTGTCTTTCTCTTTTTATGCATATGCTTTTTGAAAGATCGGTCTGTGCTGTAGGGCTACTGACTAAACATTGTGAAATGTTAAACTAAAGAAGTTCTATTTGACCCAGCTATATTACTTGAACAAATCAAGTTGTTCAACTTCCTTATTTACACAATTTACGTTTTTGCTAATTACGATACGATATGGTAGGAAGTTCAAAGGACAGTAGGTCACTTCATTAATACCATCGAGTATAATTGTCTAGAGTAATTCAGTAGAAATTTGGCTCAGGACTCGAAAAGTCAACAAGGAAGAAAAATTATTAAGAGAACTCATTATTTGCGCGTCACATCAGAACGGTGATAAATACTTAGTTATCAATTATGGTTCTTTGCCACTTTAATTAAAGGATCTTAAAATAACCAAACGTCTCCCGCTTTTGAAGGCAGACTTAACTTAGGAATAATTTGTGCAATGTCCGGGAATGTCGCTGCACGACTGGGTGCTTGATAAAACGTATTGAATATTCGGTAACTAAAAATTTTAATTTGTTCGCTTTTGAAAAAATAATATCCTGTTCGTGATAAGAGCAATACTCAGTCTTAACGATTTTTAACATTTTGCTTTTCAGTTATGGTCAGATAGGTAATAAAAAATATACAGCTTGGATAGATAGATTTTGTGCGAAATCATTAGACAAAACTATGGATAATGAAAAGTTTAATAGCTGAACCAAGATAAAATATTGACAAAAATGCTACAAGAAATATATGGAAAGAAAAAAAAAAAAGAAGGAAAGAAGGGAGAAAAAAATCAACAATCTTGTCGTTGAACTTCTTTAAAATTTTACCTATGCACCAGAGGAAGCTCATTTATTGTGGAATTTGACTTCTAGAGGAATAAGGACTTAATGATTCTTGACGTTATGTACAAATGACTTTTACTACCATATGGTTCAGTTGAAAAAAAGCATCAATATATTCAAAATTTGAAAGTTAAAGTGCCAGGCTCTACATAAATTTAGTGTTTAACATTTAACATAGTTTAGTGTCCACAGATTCCAGTTCAAAATCCTGCTGTACATACCTTGACTTCCTTGATATTGCTGATGGCTATTTCCCCGGCGTTAAAGCAAACCCCCTGTTTACGTTATCTCTTCCTTCGTGCTCGCCCCTGTTTATTACTGTTTGGCGTCTTTTGAAGCACAAAACCAATGATTGCCTAAACTCAGGTATACTTAATGAGTAGACAACCGAGTTTACAAAACAGTTTGAAAAGTTGAGAATATTTATGATATTATAAATCAACAATCCGTTAGGTATAGTAATGTTTTGAACAAAAAATATGTAGTTTGCAGTCACAAGAGGAAGCCATGACAGTAAAGAGACGGTGGACACGAGCAACAAGGTTACGGTCAAGCGTTTGGTTTGAGATTCTCTGTTTCCCTGTTGTGAAGAAACTTTCCTCTTGTGATAGGTTTTGTAAATACCAATGTTACAAAGACAAACAATAAATAGAAACAGCAAAGGGAATGACACCCAAGCATACTTAGCTGCTTTGCATGAAATTAAGTAGTTTGCTGTGTTGCACACCGCGGAAACAAGCATAGCCAGCGTCCAAATGATAACAATTACAATGAAGTACGCTTTGAGTGATAGAGTTCGGTGTTTCAGCGGCCGAAAAATGGCGTAAAACCGTTCACAGGCTATACAAACGGCTGAGATTAATGATGCCTGCGAGACGGTGACATCAACGACATTCGAACCGATACGCATCGTTTTGTATGATGTATCACATTTCCATAGCCGATAACTGGGCCCGATATATAAGAAAACATACAAAGGCAAGGAAACAGCTCCTAAAATCAAATCTGCGAAAGCCATGTTTACAACCAGTAAAAGGCTCTTCTTTCGAAGTTTTTTCTCTTTTGCAAAGAGACCAATTGTGAGAACGTTTCCCGCGATAATCAGGACAGCTTCCAACAAGAAAAAGACAGACACTGTTATTCCTTCTACCCGTGAAGGAACTGAAGACGTAAAATTTGCGCACGTGCCAGTTGATACGTTCATCATTTTGTTGTATGAAATACTTGCTTTTTCTTTTCTTCTTGATGTGTCCAGGACTTGAAGTATCTCTCGGTGTAGGAAAAACTGAAGATATTTATCTCGTTGCCTTAAATACACTGTAGTGCGTCTGAGGATCATAAAACAGAATGAACTATCTCGATGTAGGAAAAAACATTTTTCTCGTCTCCTTTCAATATACCGTAAAGTTCCGAAAATAAGTCCCGGGGCTGATATTTTTCAAACGCCCTTTTTGAGGGGCTTATTTTTGGAGGGGCTTATATTCGGAGGGGCTCATCTACGGAGGGAAATTCGTTCAAAATCGATTGGGCTAGCCTTATAGTTCATATCCGGACTCACTGTAAACAATAGCCTCTATCAAGTTCCGGTGATAACGCCCCCACGAGTGTCTGACTCTAGGTCAGTGAAAAACACGCACAATTTTGAATATTTTGCTCGCTTACTCAAAGACGTGTAAAAAGCGAACATTTTTACCTACGAATTCTCAGAGAAGAACATTAAAGCTACTTTCAAAGATGCATTTTAAAGTTATAGCTGCAAAATTCAATGGGGCAAATGGCAATTTTCGAAATCCGGATTTTGCAATATTTACAGACGATTTTAAGCTCTTGTCACGGAGGGCGCTTAAGATTGGGGCAGTACTCGTGTGCGCATTCTCTGGCCCCATTTTTGTATACGTAATAGCATGATTGGTAGTGATATTTGGCATAAAAAAATTTCCCCTGTTTTGGTATATAATTTGCCTAGGTTCCGACCGATTTCGATGGGGCAGATGGCTGTTCAAGTTGTAGGTCTTTCACTATTTTTGCTGCTGGCGTTCTGTGCGGCCGTGACTGCCGTGGGAGAAGGATCAGGGGGTCCGAAGGCTGAATTTACGCGCCATTCATCGCCTTCGTTTACAACCAGTATCAACAAGTAAGTAAGCTTAATTGGTTCAAAAGCCATTAAGCTTAATTATTATATTTTATCCCAGAACTTAATTCATAGTCCAGGGCCATAAATTATACCAAACTTTTTGTTGTCAGTTTCTCAAATATGTCTGTTAATTTTTTTTACTGAATTTTTCAGCTATCTCCTCTACACTATCGCCAAAGGGAAAGAAGAGGGTGCGAGCGAATCTGCTTTAGGACCTTTAGCCTCCATTGTGGAAAACATATAATATGAAATATGAAAGAAGCAGGGGTTTGCGGTGTCATTGTGAACAGCCGAATAATTAATGTTTTTAGGAAAACGTTTGGGCTTCTCAATGCTCACATCAAGAGGGAAAGGAAGAAATGTGGTGGCTCCGGTGACAAAAGGCTTCTAGGCAAATGGCGTGACCAAACGTATAAAGTCAAGATATTTTATCATGAGATTGATAATTACCTAATTGAAAAGGAAAATCAGGATTTAAGAGGGCAGAAACGAACACTAGAAGAATCTTTGGAGGAAGAAACAACAAAGAGACAGAAGCTTGAGAAAAAGCTTTACAAAGCAGAGAGAAGCTGCAGTTACCTCAGAAGAAGATTTCAAAGCTTAGTTAAAAAAGTTGCAAAGATGAGCCAAAAAGGTGCCCGGGCCCCGAAAAAAAAGCTTTTGGCGACTACTCAAAGCACCACCAAAGTAGGATTAAAAAGCAATTGAAAGAGGATTGTCAGGCCACTCTTACTTTCCTTGGGCTGTACAATTTCATGGCCACCAAAGTGGAAGTATTCAATACTGACACAGAACAATATGACACTTCTAATTTAATCGACGAGGATCAACTGCCACGATCAGCAACTGCGACAAACGAACTAACTGATACCCAGGTTGATGACATGAATTATTGGATTTATATAAAAGACAAATTTAATATCTCTAATGAGGCATGGCATGAACTAGCGATGAAATCTAAATCTATACCAAATACTTATCAAACTTCCCAAAGGGTAAATGAGTTGAACAAACAGTGGAACATANAACACTAGAAGAATCTTTGGAGGAAGAAACAACAAAGAGACAGAAGCTTGAGAAAAAGCTTTACAAAGCAGAGAGAAGCTGCAGTTACCTCAGAAGAAGATTTCAAAGCTTAGTTAAAAAAGTTGCAAAGATGAACCAAAAAGGTGCCCGGGCCCCGAAAAAAAAGCTTTTGGCGAGTACTCAAAGCACCACCAAAGTAGGATTAAAAAGCAATTGAAAGAGGATTGTCAGGCCACTCTTACTTTCCTTGGGCTGTACAATTTCATGGCCACCAAAGTGGAAGTATTCAATACTGACACAGAACAATATGACACTTCTAATTTAATCGACGAGGATCAACTGCCACGATCAGCAACTGCGACAAACGAACTAACTGATACCCAGGTTGATGACATGAATTATTGGATTTATATAAAAGACAAATTTAATATCTCTAATGAGGCATGGCATGAACTAGCGATGAAATCTAAATCTATACCAAATACTTATCAAACTTCCCAAAGGGTAAATGAGTTGAACAAACAGTGGAACATAAAAAAGACACCTGGAGATGCTGAAGGCGTGCAAATAAACTTCAAAGAAAGCCTTGAGGAACAGATTGCACGGTTGCAAAGAAAAGGAGATTTAGAGGAGGATGTCGTCGGGTCAAGATAAGTGGAGATGGGACTTGCATTGGGAAGAGATTAAAATTAAAGAAAGAGGCTGCAATGAGCGAAAAGGGCACTGAGAGCTATGACAACCTCAAAGAAAGCCTCTCTGATTTAACAGCAGAAATGACTGAATTAAGTAAGGTTAAGGTGGGAGGGAAACACTATGATATTGAATACTTCTTGGGTGGGGATTGGAATTTTTTAACAGGTGTATGTGGGTTAGGGGCAGCTAACCAGGATCATTTATGTATTTGGTGCAAATGCCCTTGCAATCAGAGGCATGGCATCCAAAGAGTATGGTCCCTTAGCAATAGTGCCCAGGGTGCTACAGATCACTGGAGGAAATTGCCAACTGTGCTAAATCAAAAAAGCTTAACTGCAAAGCTTACTCCTTTATTTAGCTTCATACTACTTGACCATGTAATTATTGATACGTTACACTTATTTCTTCGCATATCTGATAACTTGACGTGCACGTGCAGAGATGGCGTCCACACGAGGGTTTCTCTGGTCTGTAATTTTTCTCTTGGTTCTCTAGATTTGTGTATCTGAACATCATGTACAGTCCCGTTGTGACCCTAAAGGGAACTTTTTGCGTAAACAAGCATTTGGGAATGAAGTATTCTAGAAGAAGGACAGCATTTTACTCTAACTCAATCGCTACGTTTAACCCGAGCTTCGATCTGCTTGCTCGCTGCGGTGATGTTCATCCGATGCCAGGACCGCAGACCACGACTAGCGAGCATCATTCTACGTTCTCTCTCATGTTATTGAATGCCCGTAGCCTTGTCAACAAGCTTGTGGATTTTCAAGCTTCGATTTATGCCAACAGCGTGGATATAGTAATCGTCACTGAGACTTGGATCACGAAATTTTACCAAGTTGTTGCGACGTTTATCGTCGAGACAGAGGAGAAGATAAAAGAGGTGGAGGAGTTCTTATAGCTATAAAAAATGACGTTCTTCTGCTCGTCGGACTGACCTTGAGACCAATTGCGAGCTTGTGGTTGAGGAAATCAACCCGTCCAGGGGCAACAAGTTTATTGTTGGTGGATTTTATAGTCCCCCGTCGACAAATGGTGAATATTTGTTGGCGTTTAAGAACTTTCTGGCAAATGCTGAACGAGGCTCAACTCCCCTTTACGTCTGTGGTGATTTTAATTTTCCTGATATCAACTGGGATTTTCAAGTAGCTCCAGGCTCTGATAATCTCCCTAGCATGTTCTGTGATATTATCAATGACTCATTTTTAACACGAATGAACCATGCTCCGACAAGAATTACTGATAATTCAAGGAACATTCTCGATCTTGTATTTACTAACCAGCCTGAACGCATATATGGTCTAACGACTTTCGATTGCCAGCTCGCCACGGATCATCTTGGCGTTCAGTTCTACATCAAGACCATAACCAAGAGGGCACGCATTTCACGTTTTGTCTATCACTTCAAGAAAGCTGACTTCGAGGGCCTTAGACAATCTCTCTCAGCTATACAACTGGATATGGGGTTTGATGAAGATGATATCGATCAAAGCTGGGAAAGTTAGCGCGATTTATTCTTAAACGCTGTTGCTGAATCATTTATCCCAAAAATTAAGCTCAGGGATGCCAAATCTCCCAAATGGATTGATAGTGAATTATCAAGTTATCAAAGCAAAAGTACCGCTTATGGAAGAGAGCTAAGCAGTCTAATTCACCAATACTCTGGGACAATCATAGGGCGAAACGTAAACAAATAAAAACTGCTGCCAAGCGAAAATATCACGACTTCCTAATGAATATACAGACCAATCTTAAAGATGACCCGAAGAAATTCTGGTCCTTCTACGGGGCAAAATAAAATCTGCAAGGATTCCTAAAGTGGTCTGTTTTGGTGATCAGAAGGCTTCTACTCCTGTAGCCAAGGCCGGCTAACCTATTCAATCGCTTCTCTGCCTCTGTATTTCAGAAGCCCAATTTACATACAACAACAAGTACAACAACAAGTACGTCAGATAATGAGCTTCACCTAATTCAAACAAGCATCGAAGAAGTGACAAAAGAATTGAAAGCTATTAATCCATCGAAAGCTTATGGACCGGATCAAATCCCAGGGAGACTTTTAAAAGAATGTACTTCTGAGATTGCTCCCTCACTCACGTGTTTAATTAATCTATCTTTGCGTGTTGGCTGTGTCCCTAAGGATTGGAAGTGTGCAAACATTGTTCCTGTTTTTAAAAAAGGTAACAAAGAGGAGGTTATCAACTACAGACCCATTTCTTTATTAAGTCTTGTTTCCAAGATTGCTGAACCTTGTGTATTCGCCCATTTCTATTCTTTCATCGCTGGTAATATTTATCCGCTGCAGCATGGCTTTGTTAAGGGACGCTCAACTATCACCCAGCTTTTGGACACTGTGCATCGGATAACAAGCGCAATTGACCAGGGTGTTCAAACTGACGTTACTTTTTTAGATTTCTCCAAGGCATTTGACTCAGTCTCGCACCCCCACTTGATCAGCAAGTTAGATCAAATTGGAATTAAAGGCCCGCTTCTGCAGTGGTTCACAAGTTATCTGGATAACATGGTTCAGCGTGTGGTAATCGATGGCAAAAACTCTGAGTGGTTACCGGTCACCTCGGGAGTCCCGCAGGGCTCCCCGCTTGATCCTGCTCTGTTTGTGTTATTCATCAATGACATGCCTTGTGCTGTGTCTCAGTTTAGCACATTGGCATTGTTTGCCGCACTATTAGATCTGCAAGTGACTGTGTGCTGTTTCAAGGTGATATTGATAACCTGGTTGACTGGAGTGATGTTTGGAAGATGGCTTTTAACATGGATAAATGCTCGCTTTGCGCGATAAGGAGGAAGCGCAATCCAATAATTTATGATTACAATATGAGAGGAAAGGCACTTAAGAGGGTCAAGGCTCAGCGTGACCTTGGCGTTCTCATCACTTGTGATGCTCGATTCAATGAGCACATCTACGCCCAGGTGAACAAAGCTAATAACATGTTAGGTTTTATCCGTCGTTCACTCAGCAGCAGGAGTGATCAGTTTCTGCATGCCAACATTCAGATCTCTCTACGTGGCCCTTGTGCGTTCGCATTTGGAGTATGCCTCTGAAATCTGGAGTCCAAAGTCTGTCACCTTAATAAAGCTTATTGAGGGTGTCCAACGACGTGCTACGCGGCTTTTCCTACCTAATTTTACTTACAATGAACGACTTCAGCTGCTCAATCTTCTCCCATTGGTGTACCAAAGAGAAGTTAAAGACATAACAACATTTTATATACTGGAGTGTGGTTACTATAACTATTCAGTTGAAAGATATTTTGACTTTTGCTCAGACAAAAGATTAAGGTCATATTCTAGTAATAAGTTAAAGATTAACAAAGTCAGAACCGAGTTATTCAAAGGCACTTTTTTCAATAGATTACCATATTTATGGAACAACCTGCCTGATAAACTCAGGACCTCTAATTTAAGCCTATCATTATTTAAAAAACAATGTAATGAGTTCTATAAAAAAAGAACTTCGACCCTGACCACCCGCATGTCACTTGGACGGAGTGATTGATGTAACAATTATTTTCTGAGTAGATTAATCTAGGATATGACATATTAGCAATTATAGTTTTTACATTTAAGATCTAATTCTAATTTTTTTTTTCTTTTTCCTTATTTAAGGGTCTGTTGTAGTTTTTGGGTGGACTAGCTCGAATGGTTGGTATGTTCCGTTCTTGTCCTTCCACACTGCAATAATTTTTTTTTTCTAGTATGTAGCTAATTTTTCTCATGTAATTTAGCTAAGTTTTCTTTATATATATATATATGTATATGATTTATGTGTGATACCTTT